TCTGCAAATACCCGCTATGTTCCTGGTAGTATGGGTCCTTGAAATGCAATGGTGGTTCGGAATGCATCTTGAACACTAGATGTTACTAAATTATGGACTTAATTTCAGTTTGTGAGGTCTATTCTACATTGTGTGGTGACTCAGATTAATAAAACAAACCGTAGTGTGTGCCGTACTCAAATTAGTGTGCGATAGGCCACACACGAGTCTTGCTTTTCAAAACTACTCTTCAGATGTCAGTAGTTCGAAATATTGGTGCTCATCTCCCTGGGCTGGTTCGTGCGAAGCGAAATTTGATACCAGATCAAGTGTCCTCTGGACAACTGCTCGCATTGAGGTAGACGCCATAAAGTCGACGTCCGTTCTTCTTGTTCTATTTGGATCCGAAGTTATATCAGCCCAGCGGTGTGGTCTACCTGAGTAATCATAGGTTTGTATGGTATCTCGTATAGACCACCATTACGCCGGGTCCCGGCTGTATTGAGCTTGATTTGCCTGGAGGTTTGTTTCTAACTTGTTGTAAGCCCTATTGACTGGCTTGACAGGCAACTCTGACAACAACTTGAAACTCTCACAACAACCCAAAATTCCTGCCGGGTTATCCAGTTTGCTAGAGAGGGTGGATCCGCTGACGAAAAGGGCCTCCACCCACCTATGTTGCTCCTTGTTCTCTGTCTATAACTTTATTTTCGACGTATGTCTTCTTAGTAGGTAGGGCCCAACGAAAGCGAAGACGACTGTATCCAGATTTCCCTGAGATCAACTCCCACCCCAAATCATCTGAATGCCCAAAAATATCGAGCATTCTACGATTTGGAATATACTTGACGAAGCAACGAAGTGCGATAAACTCTACTCCTCTGGATGACTGCATCGACCTTGATCTGGTCTGTGTACGACTATATACCAGTTTCCCGCTGGCATGGCAACTAGGCACCGAAATAGTGCTGCAGCTGTACGAAACTCTCAAAATAAAACCATGTGGAAGACGCTTATTGTGCTCACGTTAATTTTTCATCCACTACTGTTAAGCCATGTTATGGTATAGTATTTCTGTTGGGATTATGAAACCCGCTGTGGGCCGGAAAGCATTCTTTTGTAAAGATGGCTAGCCTTATCGTAGTTGCCCTTGTGGGGACGTTTATGCTTGACTTGTGCTTGCTAGTCTCTCCAAAATGACATTAATAATCATTCTAAACGTTCATTGATTCACTGAACTATGCAATTTAGCTGCAAACATTTGACCAGGCAAGGCAAATTGGTAAATCGTTAGGATGAATTGTAGCGGTGCGCCATTGTTTCAGGACGGTTTAATGCACCATCAATAGACTCATTGTTTGGTCTTTTCGATGACGTTTTTAAGTAGTCCAAGGTGATGAAAGTGATGCGGATTGGTTTAACTCATCAACTCAACGCCATGCTACTCAACTGATCAGTAGCTTGAACACAGACTGTGGAATCCTGTGACCCATATGTAAATAACAAAATACGGTTTCGTGTGACAATATTAAAAAATGGGTAGCCACTAGCATATTTGACTTCGGCTGTTTTGGGTTGAACATCAGTGAGCACAACTTCGAGTACAAACTTAGCCGCAAATCGACGAATTTTTACCAGATTGTGGTCGTTCTGTAGTGCCGAATTTTAGAAGCGTTTTGAGCACTCCTAGTGAATAAAATCTTAAAATGTCCTGTTGGTAAGTGGATTCACAAAATACTCTCGCCTGTAATGCAACCACTATGATATGGCTGTTCTGGCTTTAAAACAGATGTCGAAGATTAAACTACAACCGGAAACTCCCCATAAACACAGTGCGCTTTCGTTTATTTGAAGATTATTGGTTTGAACGAGACCCAGCACGATAATTCGGCATCGTTGGACTGAGACAAACTATATCGAGCCAAAACGCGGTCTAGCCTCACACTTTTCTCTCCAGATGTCGCACTGAACCTACCTGTTAATCTGAACTCGTGTGCCTAAATTTTTCGATACGAGTGAGTGATGGTTTGCGTTGTGACGTCTAGAGGATTTTCGACCTCATATACCCGTGCTTAGTGTCATCGGTTGGACGTTCTCAGACATTGAGATTAAATGTAATTTATCCCTGATGTATCAATAGACAGGCATCGTTGCGAAACTTCGTTCTTAAATTGCGATAGAATCAGTCAATAAGATGCCTTTGTTTCACACTTTAAACGTACCAGTCTAATGTACGAAATTAAGATCTGTAATTTATTTGCTCTGCCTGAGACTACAGCCTGCTTACTTTTTTGTAAAATGGCGAATAGCAAGAGGAAGCGTTTATCCATAATTTATTGTAGTTCGAAGGCGATTTGCAAATCAAAATCATACATAGTTTTTTCATTCCGGTATTTCTGAAGGAGAAAAAACTTGACGAACTGGTCCTTACTAGATTTCCACGATAATGGGCGGTACACCGTTCTGGGCAAACTGTCCAAACATCATGTTGTCGTAGTCATACCCTAGCTGCAGACTGTCTACAAACATATCTGCATTCCGTAACAAAGGCAGTAGGGCGACCATGAAGGAGTCACGTGAGTGTCCCGGGCGGACATTGTCTTTTGGATAGGCCTCGACTGGTGGATGATGCAAACGCAACCATGCCTGGAATGAGAAAAAGTTACTTGCAATACAGCTTTCAACGTGTCTGGAGTTTATGATTCATACTATGTTTCCAAGTGAGCAGCAGAACAATGAGGCGATCTCGTAGGATAGCTAGTTCGATTTGGAAATTCATAGGGTTTTTTGGGGTATTAACAGCTGCCTGAGTCTATGTTGCTCCTCCCGGCAATCTGTTTTGTATGTCTTTGTTTCAACTAAAGAATTCTTCCAGAGACTGATGAATCTGAGATCATTTTGTTGAAAAATAGGGGCTTGCCCGCTGAGATACCAGTGGTTGCAGGACGTTTATGAAACGTTGCTAATCACGGCACGGTGAACCATATAGTTTGTACTTGAGAACATCAACCGAGGGTCACTGCAGTTAAATATGCTTCATGCAGGCTATGTGGAGTAATGATAGGGTGTATGCCACATTTGCGTATCAGCCGCTTTTAGGTGATGAAGTTCACGGAAGTGGATTAAAATGCCGTCAACATCAAAGAAGCTGTGAGAATTCGCCGGTCGTCCCAGCCGACGTTTGTTTGTTGACCAATGAGGGAGCTAGCGATGTTCTCTCTAAGCAGTCTTGTACATTCAGTGCACGCGGACACGGCTAACACGTCCGTGCAACTGCTCCCCTGGTGTGACCGACAGAAGGACGTAAATATCATTTGAGTTTTGGAACGGTAAAGTTGGGCTGATTTGCACTCCTGGACTACCACGGCACAACGTGCTGGATAGTGCATTGTAATTTCCGGAGGGATCATCTGATTTGTGTGAAAAATTATGATCATCTGAGCAATTGGTGGAAGCCTATATAAATAGGAAGCCAATTAATTTAAACGAGCCTATGTGTGATCAGAATTGGAATCTTTCAAATGGAATTTTGTCCTGCAAGTGAAGCCAGTCCATGCTGAAAAACCGAACAGCACTGTGCAGCTGTTTCATCAGCAGTGTGCGTGTCACGAAACTTCAGAGAAATTTGAACTTCCAAGCCCCAGGCTAATGGTTAATGGCTAAGCCGTTCGGCACATGATCAGCAATAGGATCGAAACGTGCTCAGACAGAATATAGTCCTAAATAGATCTCTGCCTAGGAAGGCTGGAAGGTTAGGTGTACCTAGCCCACTCGGTGGTTGGATTCTTGGTCCTTGACTCTGCAAACAGTGCTAATATGCTTCCTAGCCTCCTAGGGAATACCCACTGTCGCTCTTTGAAACCCGATTTGTTTTCTCCTGCTATCGAATAATTAGTGTTGTGCGGAAAAAAGAATGGCACACATTCAGCCCAAGACAAGCAGATGTGCTTCGTTTGCACAACTGCGAGAAACATAAAGTCCATGGAGTCATTCGCCACACTTAGGAAATTTAGGCTTGAATAAATGCACGGATTTCGGAAACTATAGTTCCACGCAGTTTCTTCTTCATTTCTAAAATATCCCACCCGAAAAAAAAACAGGCTTCAGGTTCCATATCACTTTTATTGCGATGCCTTTAACTTGGTCACACCCACTATAGCCATGTCAAGAAATATTGCAGTTGATCAGCTAGATTTGTGCTCCTCAGGATAGAGTGTTCCCTGTACAAACCATTTATGATCGATCTTGATGGACAGTATTTTTCAGAGAATACTGCTGGCTTGATTTTCAAGAGAATTAGTCGCTGTAGAACGAAAGCAAGTTTCCTGATTGTATTATCTTTTCGTGAATTACTTGGGGAAGAACAGGAATGTATTAATGTTTCCTACTGACAGAGGGAAACGAGTCCTCCAAGCGATGTCATTACGGCGCTCATTGCTTAAGTTCACTAACTATTATCAGGGTGATTATGCCTTTTCAAATTTGATGTCTGAGAATAAAACCACTCTCAGAGTAACGTCTAACTTACGTTGAATATTTTGTCGACAAAATTGTGAAAAACGATGAAAATTGGGTCATTGGTGGCCGTGGATGTGCAACACATGGATCCGTTGATCATCCGATGAAGGCGATTGTGCATCCACCTATAGGTAGGGTCTGTATCCGGTCGACCACAATAGCCTTCGAGGGCCATATGAAAAGATCTACATTCCTCGGAATCTCGCTCCCCAGGAATAAAGTAGCTGGAATATGTTGCAAGAAAAAGGTGGCAAGTGACATGTTTGTTAGTAAATTGTCGGAAAAGTAGTCTTCATCACAGATCTGAAAATCCCAAGTAGAACGAGCTGAGTGAGCGTCTAAAACCCTATATGCGGGAAATTCAGGAAAAAAATCTTGGACTGCTCAACCGATTCGGAATTGTCATTACTAAACAATTAGCGTTTTAACGACAACACAGCAAAGCACTTAGGGGAACTTATGCCAGCTCAGTCTCCACGGGAACAATGAAGTCTTTTGGAACCGTTCAAAGAATCTGTAGACAGACAAGGTCAAATTGATGAGGGATCCATAATTCGATGAGGTTGCTTGCCTCTTGCGTCTGGAACGGCTGACTGCAGAGACGTTAAGCGTGACGCGGAATCAGACCTGTGGATGCTAATTGTGTATTCAGCCGGATTTTTGAAACTGCATGATCGAGGGACTCTAGCACACATCGCAGCGCAATGGTTTGCATGCATCCCTAACAGAAAGAGTTATGTTAAGTTACCGCCTCTGAAGCTAAGTTCCTGCAAGCACTTAATCCGGATTTCCAAAGGTGCGGGTGGGAACTAATGTCCTCAGTAGACTTACGGTTGGTGCGCAAATCCGACAAGGCAGCAAATTTCCTCCCGAACCTTACCTGAGAAATATGTGGCAAGTTTAGCACACACATGGTTAATTACAAGTACACATCTCACCGGTGGCTTTCCAGTAGGTAGAGCTCTTCGCAGTAACTTTGCCAAAAAACACCCGGGGTTGGTCTAACTACAGAAACTTCTGTGGGCTATGGTCACTACCTAGTTATAAATCTACCGGCTTCTCAAACAAGTCATGGTTCAGATTATTGGGACAAACCAGAGCTATTAATTGTCACAGCTTTCAAACAATAACCTTAATGACCACTGCTGAATAAAAGGAAATGAGAGTGATCGAACGGTGCTAGGGTCTTTGCAATGCAAAACCTCCTGATGTCGGATGGCGAAATCAGGCTCAGAACATGGGTCGGAACTGTCATAAGTGAAACTGTAGCTGATTTTCGGGTATAGCGAATTGGTAGACCATTCGTGCCTCTCCATTTAATATTCTGGTGGCTTTTTTTCTCCGATAACTAACTGCTGCTGCATCAGATTAACTGAAGAGGAGAGCGAGAGATACTACTGACACTGATCGACTTGGTACCTGGACATACAGTCCATTCTAGTCACTTTCACTTCTGCACACTGCACGATGTTCTTACCAAGTTACCTGCATAAATATGATAAATCCAATAGAATAGGGGGACGAGATGGCCCAAGTGGTTAGAGCGCGAATCTACTGACCGGAAGGTCCGTGGTTTGAATCCGACCTCCGCCACTCGACTTCCCCTGTCTAAGCTTGGGCAACCTGGTAGCATCGCAGCCCTCGTGCTTCCTTCGGGTGGCATGGCAGCTAGGCACCAGAAGGGTGCTACAGCTGAACGCTTTCTTTTTCTTCTTTCTTTCTCAACTACATGAGTTGTTTGAGTCCATCATCGAAACTCCAAAGTGACACAAACCTTCCTGTTTTGGTAATTGTTTAGTTTGGAGAATCTATATCCATGAGAATGCCAACCAAGTAGATCTTCTTTGTGTATAGTTGAGCTGGTTGTCTGTGGGAATGGTGTTGAAGTTACGTAGATTTTCGCCTCAAAGCACAATGCAGGCGTATTTTGGTGGTAATTTAGAGGTTGTGTGAAAGAGAACGACTCATGTCAATGATCATTTCCAACCACTGCCGTTGAGCAATTTGGCTGCAAATGTTTTGTCACCAACCGACGTGACATCGTCAGCGCACTGAAGTTTGCAACCGAACTGCCCAGAGGCCATCGTTACAATATGAGTTACAATTATTTTGGTCAACCGAATTACAAGGTGAAGCTAAAATGTCAACTAAACATGGTTCCGTGACTTGGCTCGATCAAAAAAAGATATCTCACACAACTTCAAGATAAGCTGCAAAAACACGTTTTATTGGTCATCGTTTTGTCCACCCTGGTTGATCCTCCTTAATCGGGAACAAAACAATAAATCGAGTTATTAAACTCCACCGGGCTTTCTCACCAATAATGAATACAAACGAATGCCACACGTAGCACACAATCTATTCTACATCACGCGTACTGGATCAGGCTCAGATGTTTTCAGAGTAAGCCTCGAATCTTTGTACTAGGACAGTGCAAACAGTAAACGATATCTGATATCTTAGTAGAAGAATCCCGGTGGGTAGTGCGAATAGCGCGGAACCTGAAGTGATTCACCGAATCTCTTGGAAAGAAAAGCAAAACCCAAATCTACATAAATGAAAAATATGTTCGTACGTCATTATCACTCATCCTTATCGTGATTATGGTTAGGTTTATACTATCAGTGCTTTTTGGTGATTAGTTGACAATCCGAAGAGTAATCCTCAGACAGAACGGGAGAGGATGCAGAGATCCACGATGAAAGATGATGAAAACATCGGTAGTAGCACATTTCAGTTTGCCCAACGTGCGATATGCATCAACTGGGATTCATACGCTAGTATCATCAAGCGAGGACTCAAAGTGGTATCGATTTATTTTGCGGAAGTAAGTGATGCTCGTATGACAGCAAGGATACCACCAATATGCCAGGGCTCAGACAGGAGTATACCTCGTATGACCATGTAAGAAGGTCGGCTGAAACGATTAACCAAACGGTGGCATTCGGCAAAGTGACTGTAGAACTGTCTACAATGTACGGGTGAAGTAGTCACAAATGTTTCATCCCCAACCTGATAAATCACCCAAGCGTACTTATCTAACAAACCTACCCGATCTAAAATCGCAACTCTCCGTGAGACCTAATTCTCGAGGTCCAATTTATCAAATATAACACCCGTCCTTGAATCAGAGGACTGATCATTTGATACTTGCTATAAGGTACTTTTGTGCTTTTTCATGAAACCGGGTTTTTTGATACCAATCACTGTTAAAACACAACCAGGCAATCAGTTGAGCCCTGGTAATCATTCACAGTCGATGGCAAAAAACAGTTACAAACATCAAAACTGATGTATTAGGTACGAGAACGATTATCGAGTGAAAAGCTAAATGGATCAGCTTAGGGTTAGAGTGAATTTTATTCACGATATCACTCGAATGATGGACAGAAAGTGACTGACTAAGCGGAATTTACTGAAATTTCTTCCAACTTTAATCGTGTAATTGTATGAGTGCAATAGCAGTCGATGAGAATCACAAGCGCCTATAAGTATCACACCGGAACCACAGTGTGCAAGTATTCATCACTTTCTGTGAGGAGCACTTTCAACGGAACCCTGCAGCGCAAACATCACATTTCCCAGGGCAGAACAGTGATTTGTCCAGGCGTTCACAGCTGTCCGGGAAACATTCAGCCCTCAGTAAACATTCACACAGAAGAGCTGACAGCGCTTTGCAACTAGCCAGAGTTTTGGACAAACAAGGTGAAGGTCAGCGCCACAATAAACATCACGGAAAACGTCGGCAACTGCATTGTGCATAGGTGGTACGATCGCGCAGTCTAAAAACACTTTACCAGCACCAGCAATCATTACGATGTCTTCATTCACGTACCGTCCACAATGGGCAGTGATTCAGGCCGTGATGCGAGTCAAGGTACAGCAGCAACCATGTGACATCCAACGACACAGTTCAAGTTTCAACTACTAATACAAATACACTTAAAATATGCCACGCATGATGACGACTCACTAATCAGGGAAGCGGAAAATCAACTATCTCATGATTGCGTTTGCCACCAAGTGCTTGCGAACCTCAATCAATGAAAAATGCGGTGAACTAACAGGTTGGAAAACTATTAAGCTGACGAATTAACCAAGGGCGCGAGAGGACGAATCGATTTCCTTTTTAGCTACTATAAAATGAAGCGTGGTGCGAAAAAAGTTGGAAACCACTCTGTCAGATGGATGTGGGTGCAGTGTACAGCCCTGCCACATGGTTTTATTTCGTGATCAAACGTTTCCGTGTCCAACTCATTTTGCGCATTCATAGATTACTCAAATGGTCGCGAAAATTTTTCGTTTGCCTAATCCAAGATGAATTTTGTGCCATGAAAAGAATATCAGATAAAGTAAGCTGAATTATTACATCTGAATAGACGAACAAGTTTGTTAGTTAACTTGGAATTCCTGACACATCTGTCAAGCGACTGAGCACCAAGTGAGTCTTCGACGTTCGGGGCATCTTTCAAATGGTGAAGAAGCCGTGACACTCACCTCAAGAGGTAAGGGTTGATTTTTGAAACCAGGCACGACCGGGAATATGCCTTGGTGTCCAGTAATATGAACGAAACGTGAATCTATTATCTATCTATCTATCTTATATAAACTACACACAGTAAGGGTGTCGGAACATTGGTTGACCTTTTCAAAGAAGAATGGAGTGGATAATGCTACTAAGTTGACAACCCGACTAGATGATTTTCACTTCGGAGATGCAAGCACTGTATGATCTCGAAAGCCTTCAAGCGATCAATGAAACGATCGACCTCGAATGGCAATGCTTTTTGCGGATGGACCACCGTAAGTCAATCAAACTTCGTTTACGGTTTTACTTCACTAATTGTTCAGGTTTCCCACCAAATGCCTCATCGAAACTGATCTTCATCCCTTATTCAAGTTACGTGCGTCCAAATCATCTACGATAACCTTGGTTAACCCCAGTCGGTCGTAAAAGGACTGCTAACAAAGCGCTGTTTTGTATTTGGAGCCCTTTTAACAAAATCTGATGCGCTTGAGTTAAGGACTAAGAAACAGATGGTTTGTTCGCAATACCCGATCACCATCGGGGGCTATGGCTGATCACTGACGCAACTCATAGGCAGTAAGGCTACAACTGCTAGCTGCGGCAAACTCAACTGGTAATCACATTCTGAAGATGATGGATTAAAGTCGCATCATATTGGGTGATCAGCTGCGCAACCCGGTCACCCATCAGTGGTCATTTATTCTCGCGTGGGAACTAAGTGTTTCCAACCGACTTTCTCAAAGCAATCCACAATTCATGAGTCATGTTCACTGACCTCACAACTATGGAGAGTGATCTCATGCTCCTCAAACAAGCGGTAGGAAATTGATAACAATAAAATCACGTGAGCGACACGCCTGCTTATCATATAATGCAGAGGCAGCAAGGACAGTTCAGGTATTGGAACGCCAGTTACCTTTTCTCAAATTCCTGTAGCCACATTCTCGCACAGTAACAGTGCGTTATCGTATGCTTTACGGATTTCGGACCTTAGATAATTAAAAAAACCGGATTCTATTGAAAGCCTCTGAAGATCCATTTAGGAACAATCTCTACAGTGTCGTCGTCCAACTGTACTNAATACAGTTGGTGGCCCAAGAACCATAAAGATATCGTAGCTAGGCGATCAAAGTACCGAAAGTTAAACTGCGTCATCTTTACCAATAGTCGATAAAACCGAGTAGCCACAGTCGATATTTTACGCACCTAAGTACGTGATCGTATAACTTTATGAGATTGAACAGACGTCTGCAGCATTTAGTGTGTGCAAAGTCTCCGACCTATGGTGACAGGTACCACTAGTCCTGTCACTCTGTTGGTGCTGTGCTGGTCATTGCATGTCCAGGCACTGATTCCACATGAATGTGTAAAAAACGTTTCCACACCCGAAAAAGTATGCTGCCCTCGCGATCCTCACAATGGTATGATTTGTGGTGGTCCAGATCGAGGTTTCTGTCAACATATTGAAGCTGGACAAGAGAGCATACCTGAAGTGTTGTGGGTGGATGATCGTATTGAGTGGCCCACTCGATTTATTCAATATGCTTGCCAATGTGGGGAACGGTTTTTCGGGGTGACATGTGAGCAGTGTTGGTTCGGCTGGACCGGTCCAAACTGCGATCAACCGGAGAGGCGAATTCGACGAGATATCCGAACTTACTCGCCCGACGAACTGAAAATCTTCAAAGATGTTTTGACTCGAAGTTGGTCATGGCCTTCACGCTTCATGGTCCTTGACGAATCTACGAATAGTAGATCAGACCCACTGAACAATCCGAAATTTTTGTCTGCAAGTGTTCAATATTATATCACATTCTTACATAATTACAGCTCCAGGACCACTTTGTACAAGAGTAAATTCATGTGTGAAGAGTATGGCATCCTGGACTTCAGCCACGATGGACCAGGATTTCCCACGTGGCATCGTTACTTAATGCTTATTTGGGAACGTATGCTAGCCGAAATTGCATGGAAGGCGCACGGAATCAAGAATTTCGCACTCCCCTACTGGGATTGGGTGGGACTGGTGAAATGCGATATTTGTGACAATAAATACATCGGAGCGCCTGGTAAAAGAGACAAAGATGGCACGCGGTTGGATTCCGAATCAATATTTTACAATGCTACAAGCTACTGCTGGGAGCCGGAACCAGGCATGGTTTGTTCTGGCTGTCAGGCCAGTGGTCGAGTTGGTAAGCTAGTGAGAAGATTCGTGAGCGAAGTGTTTCCAACTCTTGCTGATATTGGCTTTATGCTTGATCTGAAGAAGTGAGTCATCCTGGTTGTTTGTTATGCTCTGTTTGATGTGTTCGTGAAGCAAGAATCCATTTAGACGAAGGTATGGGAATTAATATGATTGATCTTCGTGACTCCACCCTGTCTAGAAAGGATCGCTTTTGGGCTGACTTGAGGTCACATGTTTTGAGCTTGTGATAGTTATTCTCGCAATACTGAGTCCTTCGCAATGGGACAAGCCGAATAGTTTATGTATATTCTTTGGGTTCCTGAGCTACATGTTTGGAGCTTGGGAACCTTCTTGGGTTAGAGCAGAGGGGTTCAAACAGAAGTTCTTTTACTTTAAATCTAAATCCTGAAGTTCAGACTGCAAGTGTTCCGACACATACAGCATCCTCGTCACTTTCGGAACGCAAGACAGGTATGCAACTAAATGTCATAGCTGAGCAGTTAGAATTTTGATTCCAATTTAACACGTTGTTTATCAGGTTTGGTGGCGTTTTCAGGTGCGGTTTATATAGTGCAAATAGATATCTGCCATGCGCCTCACTTCCTCACCTTGTCGCTCCTCCGCTGGATTTGTTGTTTATGCGTACGGTTCATGACAAAACACTCGTTCAAATCCAAGCTCAAAACACCTGACATGGTGGTCTGAGTGTGGTAGGTATGTCCGTTAGTGAATTTATCATTAACCACTGAGCCACTGAGATGGCTTAGCGACTAACACGCCAACTTACTAACCCGAAGATTCGATTGCTCTCGTCTAGGAATGGGTAACGTAATATCTCAACCATCGTGTTTCCTTCGGCTGGCTTGGCAGCCAGACACCGAAAGGGCGTTACAGCTGGAAGATTATAATAATTATTATTATTACGTTCAGACTGCAGTGATGTACATACAGTAGAGGTTCTATACACTCCGCTTTATTCAATTGCTCGAATTAACAGAACCCTGGTTTCGTAGCTCTAAGGTTTTCCAAAGAAACGTTTATGCGGACTCGGTAGTCTTAGAAATGAACTGAGACTAGAAGGTAGAAACCTAAAACTTCATTGAATCGCATCAATGCGCTTGTCTCATTGTGCAAGGATTTAGTCAATGGAAGTCAGTTTTGCTGACGGATAGGAGTGAATGAAATTCGCGGGAATCATAGATGTACTAATCAAGATGTAAGTCGTGGTGTTTTGCGCAGAGAGATTCCCGTTTGGCCTGCTGAAATCTGACTGGTGAACCCAAAAAACGGGACTATAATGAGTAAATATATTATATATATACTATATGTACTGCTATTTACTAAATTAAGGCTCTCAAAAGCACGACCACGCATTGATGCTTGGTGTTGTAATGTTACAGACAAACTTGTTCACTTTTCTCTCCTGACAATACACATGACATATGCTAGTACCATCGGAAACCACTCGAGTTCAGTTTTGAAACTTCTTAAAGTTACTAGAAACCAGCTACGAAGGGAGGGTAGGCGGCTTCAATAATTTCCATGGATTATACAGAGGATTGATATCTATAGGAATCTCTGTTTTTAGCTACTTTGTTAGTGGAGAACGTGACAATCCGCGTTGCGAATCTTTCCACATGGCTTTGGAGGGCTTCTGTGGTCGCCCTGGAGCCGATTCGACTGGTCTTTGGATGCATAACAAAGTGCACAATATGATTGATGGAGCGATGGGCAGCACGGCTACCGCCACCGATGACCCTCTTTTCATCCTTCATCACAGTTTTGTCGACAAACTTCTATCGGTGAGTCAGCCAAATTTTGTATCATCGCCGTTGAAACTAGCAATTTTTGCGCCTGACTGCGCTATATCAGAAAAGCATAGTGTGTTTCAATTTTTTCAGAAATTTTCCTGTCAGCTGAGCACGTGTGCACTTAATATTAAACTGCGTCGATTTTTTAAGGGAAGCTACTCAACAGATCGCAACTAGTCTTGTGCTTCCCAGGAAAAGCATTCCCCGAGTTTCCGTCAACTTCATGTTCTACTTGAACCTAAGTGGGACGCGATTCGTGAAGCACGCTCATTTGCACACTAATTCGATTTTAACGGCAGTCTCAACTGAATCCTAGCTGAATATCCTATCTCATCGATTTCCCGAAAATCGTCCGAACTGGAACTTAAGGTGGCGTTTATATAGCGCATTAGGGAATATCATAAGTGAGAGTTCTATCTACGGCTCACATGAGTCTCCCAGTGACATTAACATAATTTGCAAATGAGTGCATTTCGTCACCTGCATTCGAGTAGAATATTAAGTTAACGAAAACTCGGGGATGACGCCAATCTACTGAACTCCAAAAAAGGCAAGACCTGTCCTAGGCTGTCGAGGACTTTTCAGCAACCTTAGAAATGATATGTTTCGCTAAGAATATTTCTATGATTGTGGGTAGTGAAGCCTTGGTGTCAACACCGATGAGGCCGCCCATGATGATGACGAGAATATCAACACACCACGCTCGCAACATGTTCAGGGTCTGATTCGGAGAATGCGAATTATGTAGCCTTTTCATCCGTTTGTCGAAACTCGTTGGATCGCTGTCCTGAGAATTTTGCTGTTTGTTTTCCCTCATATAGACATCGTTTCTCAGAGGTGATGTTGTAAAACATCTCATCCATCAATTACCCAACTTGAACTACTGTGAAATACCAAGACATCAGTGTACGTAGTGCTTCCACCCACGAGTGTTTAGGCTAGATCAAACGTCTGGTACTCGGCCACGTAAGCACACGTCTGAAACGTACCGCAGTATTTCGGAGAAAAACCGCGGATGCGGAATGGCCCGATCGGTCTTCGTTCTTAGCGGTCTCTCTAGAGGAGAACACTGTTTTTTTTACCATGTAGTGATGTAGGTACTATAATGACGGTGTAGTAACCTAATAAAACATCGGTGAACAAAACTGCGGCAACTACAACGACTGTGTGACGAGTACGCGGTTATTACAGCTGACAATGACGATGATGATGACGGCCCTATTATACAACACTTGCAGTATGATAAACAGCCCCTCATGAAGACCATATTTATCGTCCGCGAAAAACGTCACCGTGGAAGAAGTAGGATAACTCCGTTAGGAATTCACCAGGTTACAAACGCCAGTTAGACTTGTAACACGAGCAATTATGCAGATTCAAAAATGTAGGATGTTACATTGGCGGACATACTAAGAGGCTGGCAACTCTTAAGACTAAAACCGGTTCGGTGTTTGGACCAAAGATGCCACAACTTTTGAAATCACCTTCAAAAATCTAGTATGTTCCGACAAAGTTGTACGGGCTGGTTTGTATCTACTTGACAACGTAAAACAAAACAATTGGTTTACTTTTCTCAGGACACGGTGCATCCCCGTTGTCTCCTTTCGAAGAAACAAACTCCCAGAAGAGGTCACTTTCAGCAAAACTGTTGGAGATATCTTCTCAAGGGAATTATAGTAAAATGGATCTCTTTCGAGGGACTGTCTCCAGAGAATCACCAAATGCGATCTTTTTCCATACGTGGTCTCTTCCAGGACATATCTAAACATACATCACAAAGGAACATGCAAAAATATTCTCTACATGGAAGTTGTGCAAGTTTTGCGGATTAAGCTATGTGTTGTGATCCCCAATCAAGCCAATTCACCTGAATACCACTGTTCGGATGCGTCAAAAGGCACCAACATCCAGTGAACAAAACTTTTGTCCTGCTCTTTATTGCGAGAGAATCTGTTTGGTGGAGGTCGTCAGTCAAACTCAACACTGACGGGACCAGACTTGAGTGGACCCAGTTCAGAAAAATGGTCCCACTTGAGAGGGATTGTTGTAGTTTGTGTTTGCTGAGTTCACAAAGTGTCTAGGCGAAATCGAACCGGTACGGAATCCGTCGAATTAGGAATTTGTGGTAAACTATTTTGACACGTGGCCCCATCGATATGTAGAAAGAAATATGCATGTGAACGCAGATCGAAGTCCTTCTAATTGAAAATCCGTCCAGGTTGTTTTAAAATTGTGCCTGTTGTAGGACCACAGATGAGCGTGTGCCCCATTCGATTGGGTCGCAGTGATCTAGTTATCCGAACGCAAATCAGTTGTCCATTGTGATCTAAAATGCAGCTGTACAGTAGGTTACAATATCTAGGCCGGTTGAGCGAACATAGTTTGTGAATATATCTAAAAATCATGAGGTTCTCTTGCTTCGGCAGTGAAGTTACCACAACCAACGTAGCCTAACGTCCCCTGTTTACATCGCGGGAATGTCCCTCCGAATAGAGGAATGCCCTCCCGTGGTCCCGTGCAAAATGCCCGCAAAGTGAAAGGTGTCCCGTCAATGGAGATGCTTCAGAGGAATAAATAACGTCCTAATATTCATATTAGACGTATTACAAAAGGTGCAGGTTAGCATGTCGGCCTGCTTGTCTTGGGTTTTCGGCTTGGCTACCCAGCCGTGCTTACTGGTGAAGAGACCGACAGCTTGGCATAGACTATCTGACTGACCTGATGCCGTTTTGACCTTTATCAGAACCCTGATCAGCGTCGTACATAAAACAGAGGCATCTTTCCAACCATAATGCTCATGATCTGAAATTCACTGATACTCGTTATGAACTAACGTCTCACGCAATCTCTCATTCTGTGTAATTGTAGATGTGGTACCGCCGACACAAACCACCTTTCGATGCCTACCCTAACCACGATGTTCGACCAGGCCACAAACGGGATGCATTTTTGGCAACCATGTTCCCCTTGGTACGTAATGGAGACATGTTCACGGATGTAAACAACCTCGGATACGATTACGACAAACCCGATATGGTTGGTCCACTTGCACTCAACCGTGAAGAGCCCTTTCACCTCCACGCGTGAAGTTACAACAATGAACAATACAAGAATGGGAGTAAAATATGAAGAGAGTTATTATCTTGTTCCAAATTCGATGAAGTCGGGTTAGATAAACCAGACATTTATGAAAGTGTTTATCCTAAACAATTTGAACGAACAGCATTAAATTGGAAAATATGATTCAAAAACATTTATTTGCCTACTGAAGAAAACCTTCAATTTTTGCTCCAAGCAGTCCGGACAAATGCTTCGTTTAACTTAAGATTTCGGTTTAAAAATCATCCAGTCTTGATGAGATTCAAACACACACGGCGATTGGATTTAATCTGTTGGATCAATGTGGCCTAATCGTCGACGAGAAGAGAGGGCAAAATTCAACCTACCCGTTCTTTGAATTCCTTGAATTGGTCGCTTTTTTCAGCCATATCGTGACCCCATTTAGACGCACAAGAAAGCAGACAAGCAATATTAAGTGTGTTTTCCTTTATGGAAGCTTTGAAAATCTTTGATACTACCTGATGCGGACTATTGTCATTGATAGTTTCGAGCAAGTTTAATCCCAGGGTGTCCTTTTTTAGGCATGCAGTTCTTACAAGTCATGAGTTGTGACAGTTTGTTTATCAAAATTCATTTTCACGTATGGGTGTTTCTGAAATCCTGGATTCCAATTTAGGATTCCATTTCTGATGGAACTAGACAAATTTTTAGCCATTTTTTTCATTGTTCAGCCGCCCATCAGGAGTTTTTCTAGTCGGTCCGCCCTACGCACATCCGTACTTCCCGTAACGCCTTACGAATTTGGTTTAAATACTGGGTGCAGTTGAATCATACGGTGTAATCAGTTAGAATAGGACACTAGCCTAGCAAATCAAAACACACTAGCCTAGAGAAGATAACCGGCACAGTAGTCCGAGAGAAGTACGTTATGGTGGTTCATTATGATGAGTCACACGTAAGTAAATAGAGCCATGCTTTTAAAGGAAACTACTCACAAGTTGCTGAAAACTCTTCGACAGCCAAGGAATATCATAAACGAGAGATTCAGTAGAGTCTCTCGTGAGAACCAAATTGATTTGCAAATGAGTGTACTTCTCGAAGAGATTCATGCTTAGTTCACTCACCAGCATGATTTGTTGGATGAATGTAGGCAAACTGGCTGTATGAGAGCGACCTATCTGAGAGCTTTCCTATATACCATTCATAGGCGTCGAATGTCGCGTGGATTCACATCCTCGACCTGACAGGTGTTAAGGTCGGTTTGAAATGTGACAATGATCGATCTCATGGTTGGCCGTTGACTGTGCGTTGGCAAGCGTGCCACGTTCGATCAGTTTCACCTCAAATGATCAGCCGAATGTTCTTTGAGCATCTATTGTTTGTCCTAACAACCGTAGCACGGTTGGTTCGTTTATGACTACCGGTGTGATTTATTTTTCTTGCTGCTTCTGGAAATGTCTGGGGGGATACCGACCTTGTCGAGAGTTACTCTTCTTTAGACGAGGCTCTCCACTTTCCATCCAAAGTCGCCTGGTGGTTTGGCGTTGTGGCATGTGAAGCTGACTTATCGCCGGGTCCCAACTCATGCAACTTCTCGCTGTCGTTCCTCTCGTCCACCTCTGCGAGAAGAACCTTCACAGCCGCACGGTAGGACAAGGTTCCACTGGTGACACAGTGATTGTTTTTCGTGGTAGTTGAAATGAAGGATTCTAGTACTCTTCGGACAGTTTTGTATGTCTCTGCCGCAATGCTCAGGTGCACAGCAAAATTGAGGAATTTCTTGGTTCGTTCCGTCTGTAGATGAGTGAGTGAGCCAACAAACACGAATCAGATAGAGGATTCATACCAATATGCTATCCCTGAAGTAAGGGACATTGCTTTTCAGCCTTCCTCAGCTGGCTTGTCGGGGCTTCATGAAATTATTTGCTCTCCGGACACACATCAATCGTGAATGTGTTCAGAATGCGTATTCGAAAGAATGAGGCGCACATCCGATGTGCTTTCGTTCGTATTCTAAGCATGGAATTTTCTTTCGAAGGTAGTATTATGCAGCAAAAACCTGAATATTCCAATTCCACGTTGCTCTCTTGCAGGTTTAAAAAAGGCCGACGGATTTGCTGAGGCAATCATTCCGGCAGGTTTCTATTTAGTTCGATAATTTGTCTTATGAGCAAACGATATCCAGATACCGTTCCTGCCAGTTGAAGAGAAAAACTTGTCCACGAAAGCTTTTTCACTGGAGTCCTGATTCGCCCAAGCGGATGAGTCTTAATTGGTAGAATACACCATTTTTCTCCTAGTTTCCTTCATAATACGTGACTCAGATAACTGGGCTGGCTCAACAGTCTAGCTCAATCTACCTGATAAGCCCTCAATCGAGAAACCAGTCATATACAATATGAAATACGAACATGCGTACAAGGTTTGTTTTCTTTCGGCCACTGGTTAGCTTAAAGTTCCAACTAAGCCCCATCTTATGTTCCTATCATCAAACGAAAACAGAACCAGTTGTTCCACAGCGACTGTTTGCCCTATGTCTCTAGGTTCGTTTGTATACTTTGCAGCGGCGAACGAAACCGCTGAAGATTTGGGGTGCAAATCCTTGTTACGGGTTAAAACTAGAATGACTGCACTGTCAGTTTCACTTTACCGTTTGTAAGCTCAGGCTACCGAGGGGTATCGATCGTTCAGGTTGGTGAGCCTCGGTCGGGTTCCCCGGTTATCAATTGAGATTTCGTCCTATAAATAAAACCAATATATTGACGACAATCCGAGAAGAGCTGTACAGCTGTTTCATGCTTATTTGGAATCATCACCAGTGAGCATCTCAGGAGAGTTCAGAGTTTCGAGCCTGTGCTATCCAGACTAGCAATCTGAGCCCTTAACCATACCGCCACTAGCGGCTGATTAGCTCGTACTTGATTAGGATTCAGCAACGCTCATTCCTTTATCACGAAATTCACATCATGTAGTCACGCATGTTGACTGACCCCTAGATTGACCACTTTTCACACTATGGTTACACTCATCTGAATTCATTCTAAAGTCACACCATCAAAAACTCCAATTTCTGTCGGGAAGATATTCAGGATGGATTGAAAAATCAGAGAAGGATGTGGTCGTAACGCCATGATGTCTCCCTCAGAAAGCATCGTACAGCCACTAAGAGAAAACGGGAGAATGAGCCCTTAATTTTTGCCCCTTCGAAGGTCTACCCAAAGCAGTGAAAACAACTCGGACTCTTCCCGATGTTTCGCCATGTGGAGAACCCTCGTGAGATGCCTGCTGGTGTATCGGGAAGTTTCATTACTAGATTCTGGTATTCGTTGGTTTTAGCCTGAGGTAAATTCTAACTCAACCCATTGGAGTGCTTCATAATGGTAAAATATCTTTTGATCAGCTGATTGAAAAGGGTCAGGTTAAGGAAATTCCCAGTTTGAATCTAAATTAATGAATGAAACAGAAAAAAAACTTTCCCTTTTGTCGTACGAGTATACATTCTCCAAATCATAACTAACAGCTGACCGAGTGTTATAGGTAGCACCGTTGTCTTTTTGAGGTGAATTACGAACAGCTGTGACCGTCGCAAGCGAGGAGAAAAATGTCTGGTTTTTCAAAGATCCTAACACCGGTTCAAACGGCAATGTCAGATCAAAAACTTCAGATATGGTTCTGGTTCTCTCAATCGCAGACAACAGTACTTAGGAGATAGAATGCCAATTTCTGAATGGCACATGTTATACTCTAGTCTGAGAGGCTAGTTATGTTGCACTCTACCCACGCCCTTCTAGACACCCTCTCCATTGCAAGTTAGATTATAGCTGGTGCGGGGGCCAAACGCAGGTGCGTACATCTGTACAGTGAAAATGCAGCATCCGGAATAGATGATCGAGAAAACAGCGTAAAGTGCCCGAATATTGAAGATCCGATAAAACAGCCTTTCCCGTAACGAACGTGAATATGGAACACAATAATGCAGTGTTGCGCGGTCTTCCCTGTCTAACCAGATTTCACTTACAGGAGACTAGCAAATTTTCATGTCAAATGTTTGCTTTGCTGTTTGCCATGGTAGTGCCAACGGAACGAGAGGCTCCTTCTGTCTGGACAGTTCCTACTTTCATTTGTGAGCAGCAGTGGCTTCAGAAAATTTCGCATCGTTGTTTATTGTACTGAACACTACATCACCTGTGTTCGTTGGATGGATGCCATTCGTGTCCTCACCCGTACGATGGGTAACCGACGAGGTTGGCAGTGTACAATGTGATCTGTTTATCGTGGCCTGTGCGGAACTGTAGGAACAATGCCCGAATGTGATTATCTTCAGCGTTGGATGTGCTCCTAAACATGTGCAACAAAGCCAGTCAATCAACACATAGCATAAAGGGCCAATAAAAAACCAGGCAGTCACGTGGCTGACTGCCCACGAAGACATTGCACACTTTCTAAAAAAAAGTAAAAAGCTGAGTTCATCATCATCACCATCAACGACAGCATGACATCAGTGCTCAACACCGATGCTTCACTGCTGTACAGCCATGACTTATTTGAAAGCCTTATTGTAGAGAAAAGAATAAAGGTGGATGGGGGAGGGACTTAGTGCTAGCTTAACACAATCATTCCGAGGTGCCTACACCTCCAGACATTCATTCAGGCAATCTGGACAGAAACTGACAACAAGAACGCCACTGACATCGGTTGGCAGCCATATCTTGTAGTGTCTCCAACCAGGCACAGTGAGGATCACGCGGTCCCCATCCTGGAAGGCCAGTAGCACCGACAGCACCCAAGCGTCTCGTGATC